CCGCTGGTAGTACGTGGCTTATATCAACAGCGAGTTCTCCGCTGTGTGTGCTTGTTTCCTGTGGCGCAGCACCGGTCGAGGCGTATAGCCAACCAGTCATAACGTATATGCTATATGTGAGGTAGATTCGCAGATCGCACATAGGGATGTTGAAGCGTCAGCAAGGTTGATGCAAGCCTGTTGTGGCAATATCTTTAACCCTCCAGGCATCTTGTGTTTTCTACTAGCGCGTCTAAGTATCGAACGCGTTGTGCTTGATATCACTTGCGTTATGATCAAGTGATGACCACTCCGAAGCTGAACCGCTTGAGCTTATGTCGCCATGCCAGTGGTAACATGTGGTCAGTATGAATTTATGAATTTATAGATCTCCATTGTGTGTGCCTGTTCCGGTGGCACAACACATCGAAGCTAGTGACCAATTGCAAGTGTACGTTTGAGAGGGATGAGGAGATCACACACATGGATATATGAGTGTCAGGAATGTGGTTGCAATTTTGTTGTGGGAGTATCTCTGACACTCCAGTCTTTCTGTGTTCTCTTGTAGCGCGTCTGATAAAGTTTTTTTTGGCTTGAGCTCACGCGTGTGATAATCAAGTGCTGTACACTCCTAAGCTGAACTGCTTGAGCTTCTGTCGCCATGCCGCTGGTAGCATGTGGCCTATATCAACCTCGAGTTCTCCGCTGTGTGCACCTGTTTCCTGTGGCGCTGCACAGGTCGAGGCTTATAGCCAACCAGTCATAACGTATATGCTATATGTGAGGTAGATTCGCAGATCGCACATAGGGATGTTGCAGCGTCAGCAATGCTGATGCAAGCCTGTTGTGGCAATAGATCTGGCATCTCGTGTACTCTACTATCGCGTCTAAGTATCTAATGTGTTGTGTTTGAGCTCACTTGTGTCATGATCAAGTGCTGTCCACTCCGAAGCTGAACCGCTGGAGCGTCTGTCTCCATGCTGGTGGTAACATGTGGTCTATACGAACATCTAGTTCTCCGTTGTGGGTGCTTGTTTCGATGGCACCACACAGATCGAAGCTAGTGACCAACCAGTACTGCCAGTTCCAGGGGGATGAGAAGATCACACATAGGGATACCTGAGCGTCAGCAATGCGGTTGCAAGTTTGTTGTGGGAATCTCTCTGACCCCCTGTTCTCTTGTAGCGCGTCTCAGTATGACTGTTTGTGTTTGAGTTCACATGTGTGATAATCAAGTGCTGTACACTCCTAAGCTGAACTGCTTGAGCTTCTGTCGCCATGCCGCTGGTAGCATGTGGCCTATATCAACCTCGAGTTCTCCGCTGTGTGCACCTGTTTCCTGTGTCGCTGCACAGGTCGAGGCGTACAGCCAACCAGTCATAACGTATATGCTATATGTGAGGTATATTCGCAGATCGCACATAGGGATGTTGAAGCGTCAGCAATGCTGATGCAAGCCTGTTGTGGCAATATGTCTAGCATCTCGTGTACTCTACTAGCGCGTCTAAGTATCTAATGTGTTGTGCTTGAGCTCACTTGTGTCATGATCAAGTGCTGTCCACTCCGAAGCTGAACCGCTGGAGCGTCTGTCTCCATGCTGGTGGTAACATGTGGTCTATACGAACATCTAGTTCTCCGTTGTGGGTGCTTGTTTCCATGGCACCACACAGATCGAAGCTAGTGACCAACCAGTACTGCCAGATCCAGGGGGATGAGGAGATCACACAGGGATACCTGAGCGTCAGCAATGTGGTTGCAAGTTTGTTGTGGGAATCTCTCTGACCCTCTGTCCTCTTGTAGCGCGTCTCAGTATGACTGTTTGTGTGTTGAGCTCACGCGTGTGATGATCAGGTGCTGTACACTCCTAAGCTGAACTGCTTGAGCTTTTGGTTCCATGCCGCTGGTAGCATATGACCTATATCAACCTCGAGTTCTCCGCTGTGTGTGCCTGTTTCCTGTGGCGCTGCATAGGTCGAGGCTTATAGCCAACCAGTCATAACGTATATGCTATATGTGAGGTAGACTTGCAGATCGCACATAGGGATGTTGAAGCGTCAGCAGTGCTGATTCAAGCCTGTTGTGGCAATATATCTGACCCTCCAGGCATCTCGTGTACTCTACTAGCGCGTCTAAGTATCAAACGTGTTGTGCTTGAGCTCACTTGTGTCATGATCAAGTGCTGTCCACTCCGAAGCTGAACCGCTGGAGCGTCTGTCTCCATGCTGGTGGTAACATGTGGTCTATACGAACATCTAGTTCTCCGTTGTGGGTGCCTGTTTCCATGGCACCCCACAGATCGAAGCTAGTGACCAACCAGTACTGCCAGTTCCAGGGGGATGAGGAGATCACACATAGGGATACCTGAGCGTCAGCAATGCGGTTGCAAGTTTGTTGTGGGAATCTCTCTGACCCTCTGTTCTCTTGTAGCGCGTCTCAGTATGACTGTTTGTGTTTGAGCTCACGTGTGTGATGATCAGGTGCTGTACACTCCTAAGCTGAACTGCTTGAGCTTTTGGTTCCATGCCGCTGTTATCATGTGGCCTATATCAACCTCGAGTTCTCCGCTGTGTGTGCCTGTTTCCTGTGGCGCTGCACAGGTCGAGGCTTATAGCCAACCAGTCATAACGTATATGCTACATTTGAGGTAGATTCGCAGGTCGCACATAGGGATGTTTAAGCGTCAGCAATGCTGATGCAAGTCTGTTATGGCGATATCTCTGACCCTCCAGGCATCTCGTGTTTCTACTAGCGCGTCTAAGTATCGAACGTGTTGTGCTTGAGCCCACTTGTGTCATGATCAAGTGCTGTCCACTCCGAAGCTGAACCGCTGGAGCGTCTGTCTCCATGCCGGTGGTAACATGTGGTCTATACGAACATCTAGTTCTCCGTTGTGGGTGCCTGTTTCCATGGCACCACACAGATCGAAGCTAGTGACCAACCAGTACTGCCAGTTCCAGGGGGATGAGGAGATCACACATAGGGATACCTGAGTGTCAGCAATGCGGTTGCAAGTTTGTTGTGGGAATCTCTCTGACCCTCTGTTCTCTTGTAGCGCGTCTCGGTATGACTGTTTGTGTTTGAGCTCACGTGTGTGATGATCAGGTGCTGTACACTCCTAAGCTGAACTGCTTGAGCTTCTGTCGCCATGCCGCTGGTAGCATGTGGCCTATATCAACCTCGGCTTCTCCGCTGTGTGTGTGCCTGCTTCGTGTGGCGCTGCACAGGTCGAGGCTTATAGCCAACCATTCATAACGTATATGCTACATTTGAGGTAGATTCACAGGTCGCAAATAGGGATGTTTAAGCGTCAGCAGTGCTGATGCAAGCCTGTTGTGGCAATCTATCTGACCCTCCAGACATCTCGTGTACTCTACTAGCGCGTCTAAGTGTCTAACGTGTTGTGCTTGAGCTCACGTGTGTCATGATCAAGTGCTGTCCACTCCGAAGCTGAACCGCTGGAGCGTCTGTCTCCATGCCGGTGGTACCATGTGGTCTATACGAACATCTAGTTATCCGTTGTGGGTGCCTGTTTCCATGGCACCACACAGATCGAAGCTAGTGACCAACCAGTACTGCTAGTTCCAGGGGGATGAGGAGATCACACATAGGGATACCTGAGCGTCAGCAATGTGGTTGCAAGTTTGTTGTGGGAATCTCTCTGACCCTCTGTTCTCTTGTAGCGCGGCTCAGTATGACTGTTTGTGTTTGAGCTCACGTGTGTGATGATCAGGTGCTGTACACTCCTAAGCTGAACTGCTTGAGGCTTTGGTTCCATGCCGCTGGTAGCATGTGGCCTATATCAACCTCGAGTTCTCCGCTGTGTGTGCCTGTTTCCTGTGGCGCTGCACAGGTCGAGGCCCATAGCTTGTGTCATGATCAAGTGCTGTCCACTCCGAAGCTGAACCGCTGGAGCGTCTGTCTCCATGCCGGTGGTAACATGTGGTCTATACGAACATCTAGTTCTCCGTTGTGGGTGCCTGTTTCCATGGCACCACACAGATCGAAGCTAGTGACCAACCAGTACTGCCAGTTCCAGGGGGATGAGGATATCACACACAGGGATACCTGAGCGTCAGCAATGTGGTTGCAAGTTTGTTGTGGGAATCTCTCTGACCCTCTGTTCTCTTGTAGCGCGTCTCAGTATGACTGTTTGTGTTTGAGCTCACGTGTGTGATGATCAGGTGCTGTACACTCCTAAGCTGGACTGCTTGAGCTTTTGGTTCCATGCCGCTGGTAGCATGTGGCCCATATCAACCTCGGGTTCTCCGCTGTGTGTGCCTGGTTCCTGTGGCGCTGCACAGGTCGAGGCTTATAGCCAACCAGTCATAACGTATATGCTTTACCTATACGACCACCCTGCGGGTGATAAGGAGGTGAGGGGGGAGGGGGAACCAACGTCTCACTCAGTCGATCTCGCTATCGATCTCACATTCGATCTCATTATCGATATTACTATCGATCTCGCTATCGATCTCACATTCGGTCTCACGATCGATCTCACTATCGATCTCACATTCGGTCTCACATTCGGTCTCACTGTCGATCTCACAATCGATCTCACAATCGATCTCACAGACGATCTCACATCCGGTCTCACAATCGGTCTCACTATCGATCTCACTATCGATCTCACAATCGATCTCACTATCGATCTCACATTCGGTTTCACATTTGGTCTCAATATCGATCTCACAATCGATCTCATTATCGATCTCACAATCGATCTCACTATCGATCTCACAGTCGATCTCACATTCGGTCTCACATTCGGTCTCACGATCGATTTCACTATCGATCTCACAATCGATCTCACTATCGATCTTACATTCGGTTTCACATTCGGTCTCACTATCGATCTCACAATCGATTTCATTATCGATCTCACAATCGATCTCACTATCGATCTCACAATCGATCTCACATTCGGTCTCACTATCGATATCACAATTGATCTCACAATCGACGTCATCATCATCATCATCATCAACAACACCAACATCAAAGGCCGCCGCGAGCTCGAGCCATCGGAGGCGCAGCGGCCTCAGAGGACGCGCCCCCCCTTGCTTTCGCAGTCTGCAGAGGGCCAAGCACCACACCCGCGCAGGGCGATGTGCACCGGCGCGTGTGCTCTGCACGCCGCGCCGTGTCGAGTCCGACGTGAAGAAGGGCAATCGGCCTTGTTCGACCGCAACATCACGAACAGCCGCGCCATGATGTGCACCGTGTTGATCCTCAGAATCGGGAGCAACCAGGGGATGGGTGACGTCGGCTACGACAAGAGCTACGACATCTACGTCCCGCCGCAGCACCTGCGCTTGTTCGACGGGCCTGGCCTGGTGGCCGACACCATCATCAAACCGAACCTCTCCCGCGAGACGCTGCAGCAGAACAAGATCGTGCGAGCGATCAAGAAGAATCTCGTCAATAAGTGCCTCGATAAGTTTGCGGAGATCGCCGAGAAGAAGGACGACTACAAGAAGTTCCACGAGCAGTTCGGCAAGCGCCTCAAGCTTGGCGTGCACGAAGATTCCACCAACCGCACCAAGGCCGCGGAGCTTATGCGCTACCACACTTCGAAATCTGGAGATGAGATCATCAGCCTGAAGGAGTATGTGGACCGCATGAAGGAGGGGCAGAATGACATTAACTACAGTACGGGGGAGAGCATCGCAGCGGCGTCGTCCTCGCCTTTCCTGGAAACGCTGCGCAAGAAGGGTCTTGAGGTCCTCTACATGACCGAACCCATCGATGAGTACTCCGTGCAGCAGCTGAAGGAGTTCGACGGCAAGAAGCTCAAGTCGACGACTAAGGAAGGTTTGGACCTCGAGGACGAGGACGAGAAGAAGAAGAAGAAGTTGGAGGAGCTGAAGGCGGAGTTCGAGCCGCTGACAAAGCTGATGAAGGAGGTGCTGGGCGACAAGGTGGAAAAGGTGGTTGTCAGTTCGCGCATGGCGGACTCGCCCTGCGTGTTGACCACGCACGGCCTGCAGCCGAAGCCTTTCGTCGAGGCCTGCTATGGCTTCTGGCAGGACGGCGACTTCATAAATAACGACGAGCCCCTGAGCAACGTTCTGCCAGATGAACATGATAGCGCAAGCCCTCCGGCATTACTGCATGCACTCCTACATGGCGTCCAACAAGATTCTCATCATTGGCTTCCAGAGGGGGCGGGCAAGCTCATGGGCATGGCCTTCCGCGTGCCCACCATCGACGTGTCGGTCGTTGACCTCACCTGTGAGCTGGAGAAGGCGACGACCTACGAGGAGATCTGCGCCGAGATCAAGAGGCGCTCCGAGGGCGACATGAAGGGATACTTGGGCTACTGCGACGAGGCTCTCGTGTCCACCGACTTCGAGACGTGCCCATCTCCAGCACCTTCGATTCCAAGGCGGGCATCATGCTGGACCCCACGTTCGTGAAGCTCGTGGCCTGGTACGACAACGAGTGGGGCTATTCGTGCCGTGTCGTTGACCTGATCAAGCACATGGCCAAGGTCGACGGGGCGTAGGATGTAGGACGGTGCCCGCCGTATCCTCACTGTGCAGTCGCTGTCTCATTTTTTTCTCCTATACGGGCGTACGCAGAGCGCAGGGCGCATCCACCGCATGCCTGCCCCCTCTTGAGGAGATCGTGGGCGCCGCCAACGAGGCATCGAAGATGCCACGGCCATATTTGCATCTTTTTTACGTTAAGTGACTCGGGCACCCGCTCGCCTGCGTGTAATGGATCTCTGAATTACTTGCGACTCGGATCGGCCACCGCCAGTCTTTCGCAAGCACCCGCTCGCATGCAAGCTAGATACACGGTCTCTGGCTGTGCGTCGAAGCGCCCCGAGTGCACTCGCCCCACGCGGGTTTATCGGGACATGACTCTGTTATGCTCTCTGCGACGGACCACCAATTGCATACTTGGTCCTGCTGTCGAGGGAACACCAACATCATCATCATCATCATCATCGCCATCACCACCATCATCATCACCATCATCATCATAATCATACACATCATCATCGGGACACCGACGGGACGCCGACGGGACACCAGCGGGACACCGGCGGGACACCGCGCGCCACCGGCCGCCCGGAAGGGAAACATTTGGTCCGGCCGCGCCTCAGCCACAGGAGAACCGACGGGACACCAGCGGGACACCGGCGGGACACCGCGCGCCACCGGCCGCCCGGAAGGGAAACATGTGGTCCGACCGCGCCTCAGCCACAGGAGACTTTCTCTCGCCCGCCCACGCAGCTTCGCCTCGCCCGCACGCACGGCACGCACGAACACGACACCGAAATCGATTTCCCGGTAGGGGGGCTCTCCGTTCCACTTCGATCTCACCCATTCACTTCCGATGTGAGGTAGATTCGCAGATCTCACATAGGGATGTTTAAGCGTCAGCAATGCTGATGCGAACCTTTTGTGGCAATATATCTGACCCTCCAGGCATCTGGTGTTTTCTACTAGCGCGTCTAAGTGTCTAACGTGTTGTGCTTGAGCTCACTAGTGTCATGATCAAGTGTTGTCCACTCCGAAGCTGAACCGCTGGAGCGTCTGTCTCCATGCCGGTGGTACCATGTGGTCTATACGAACATCTAGTTTTCCGTTGTGGGTGCCTGTTTCCATGACACCCCACATATCGAAGCCTGTGACCAACCAGTACTGCCAGTTCCAGGGGGATGAGGAGATCACACATAGGGATACCTGAGCGTCAGCAATGCGGTTGCAAGTTTGTTGTGGGAATCTCTCTGACCCTCTGTTCTCTTGCAGCGCGTCTCAGTATGACTGTTTGTGTGTGAGCTCACATGTGTGATGATCAGGTGCTGTACACTCCTAACCAGACCTGCTTCAGTTTTTGGTTTCATGCCGCTGGTAGCATGTGGCCTACATCAACCTCGAGTGTTCCGCTGTGTGTGTCTGTTTCCTGTGGCGCTGCACAGGTCGAGGCTTATAGCCAACCAGTCATAACGTACATGCTACATTTGAGGTAGATTCGCAGATTTCACACAGGCATGTTTAAGCGTCAGCAATGCTGATGCAAGCCTGTTGTGGCAATATATCTGACCCTCCAGGCATCTCGTGTACTCTACTAGCGCGTCTAAGTGTCTAACGTGTTGTGCTTGAGCTCACGTGTGTCATGATCAAGTGCTGTCCACTCCGAAGCTGAACCGCTGGAGCGTCTGTCTCAATGCCGGTGGTAACATGTGGTCTATACGAACATCTAGTTCTCCGTTGTGGGTGCCTGTTTCCATGGCACCACACAGATCGAAGCTAGTGACCAACCAGTACTGCCAGTTCCAGGGGGATGAAAAGATCACACATAGGGATACCTGAGCGTCAGCAATGCGGTTGCAAGTTTTTTTGTGGGAATCTCTCTGACCCTCTGTTTTCTTGTAGCGCGACTCAGTATGACTGTTTGTGTTTGAGCTTACGTGTGTGATGATCAGGTGCTGTACACTCCTAACCTGACCTGCTTGAGCTTTTGGTTCCATGCCGCTGGTAGCATGTGGCCTATATCAACCTCGAGTTCTCCGCTGTGTGTGTCTGTTTCCTGTGGCGCTGCACAGGTCGAGGCCCATAGCTTGTGTCATGATCAAGTGCTGTCCACTCCGAAGCTGAACCGCTGGAGCGTCTGTCTCCATGCTGGTGGTGACATGTGGTCTATACGAACATCTAGTTCTCCGTTGTGGGTGCCTGTTTCGATGGCACCACACAGATCGAAGCTAGTGACCAACCAGTACCGCCAGTTCCAGGGGGATGAGGAGATCACACATAGGGATACCTGAGCGTCAGCAATGCGGTTGCAAGTTTGTTGTGGGAATCTCTCTGACCCTCTGTTCTCTTGTAGCGCGTCTCAGTATGACTGTTTGTGTTTGAGCTCACGTGTGTGATGATCAGGTGCTGTACACTCCTAACCTGGACTGCTTGAGCTTTTGGTTCCATGCCGCTGGTAGCATGTGGCCCATATCAACCTCGGGTTCTCCGCTGTGTGTGCCTGGTTCCTGTGGCGCTGCACAGGTCGAGGCTTATAGCCAACCAGTCATAACGTATATGCTATACCTATACGACCACCCTGCGGGTGATGAGGAGGTGAGGGGGGAGGGGGAACCAACATCTCACTCAATTGATCTCGCTATCGATCTCACATTCGATCTCAGTATCGATATCACTATCGATCTCACTATCGATGCCACAATCGATCTCACATTCGGTCTCACATTCGATCTCACATTCGGTCTCACATTCGGTCTCACTGTCGATCTCACAATCGATCTCACAATCGATCTCACAGTCGATCTCACATTCGGTCTCACATTCGGTCTCACGATCGATCTCACTATCGATCTCACAATCGGTCTCACTATCGATCTTACATTCGGTTTCACATTCGGTCTCACTATCGATCTCACAATCGATCTCATTTTCGATCTCACAATCGATCTCACTATCGATCTCACAATCGATCTCACATTCGGTCTCACTATCGATATCACAATCGATCTCACAATCGACGTCATCATCAACAACACCAACATCAGCATCATCATCATCATCATCATCATCATCATCATCATCATCATCATCATCATCATCATCATCATCATCATCATCGCCATCATCACCATCATCATCACCATCATCATCATAATCATCCACATCATCATCGGGACACCGACGGGACACCAGCGGGACACCGGCGGGACACCGCGCGCCACCAGCCGCCCGGAAGGGAAACATTTGGTCCAGCCGCGCCTCAGCCACAGGAGAACCGACGGGACACCAGCGGGACACCAGCGGGACACCGCGCGCCACCGGCCGCCCGGAAGGGAAACATTTGTTCCGGCCGCGCCTCAGCCACAGGAGACTTTCTCTCGCCCGCCCACGCAGTTTCGCCTCGCCCGCACGCACGGCACGCACGAACACGAAACCGAAATCGATTTCCCGGTAGGGGGGCTCTCCGTTCCACTTCGATCTCACCCCCTCACCTCCGATTTGAGGCAGATTCGCAGATCTCACATAGGGATGTTTAAGCGTCAGCAATGCAGATGCGAACCTGTTGTGACAATATCTCTGACCCTCCAGGCATCTTGTGTTTTCTACTAGCGCGTCTAAGTATCGAACGTATTGTGCTTGAGCTCACTTGTGTCATGATCAAGTGCTGTCCACTCCGAAGCTGAACCGCTGGAGCGTCTGTCTCCATGCCGGTGGTACCATGTGGTCTACGCGAACATCTAGTTCTCCGTTGGGGGTGCCTGTTTCGATGGCACCCCACAGATCGAAGCTAGTGACCAACCAGTACTGCCAGTTCCAGGGGGATGAAGAGATCACACATAGGGATACCTGAGCGTCAGCAATGCGGTTGCAAGTTTGTTGTGGGAATCTCTCTGACCCTCTGTTCTTTTGTAGCGCGTCTCAGTATGACTGTTTGTGTGTGAGCTCACATGTGTGATGATCAGGTGCTGTACACTCCTAACCTGACCTGCTTGAGCTTTTGGTTCCATGCCGCTGGTAGCATGTGGCCTATATCAACCTCGAGTTCTCCGCTGTGTGTGTCTGTTTCCTGTGGCGCTGCACAGGTCGAGGCCCATAGCTTGTGTCATGATCAAGTGCTGTCCACTCCGAAGCTGAACCGCTGGAGCGTCTGTCTCCATGCTGGTGGTGACATGTGGTCTATACGAACATCTAGTTCTCCGTTGTGGGTGCCTGTTTCCATGGCACCACACAGATCGAAGCTAGTGACCAACCAGTACCGCCAGTTCCAGGGGGATGAGGAGATCACACATAGGGATACCTGAGCGTCAGCAATGCGGTTGCAAGTTTGTTGTGGGAATCTCTCTGACCCTCTGTTCTCTTGTAGCGCGTCTCAGTATGACTGTTTGTGTGTTGAGCTCACGTGTGTGATGATCAGGTGCTGTACACTCCTAAGCTGGACTGGTTGAGCTTTTGGTTCCATGCCGCTGGTAGCATGTGGCCCATATCAACCTCGGGTTCTCCGCTGTGTGTGCGTGGTTCCTGTGGCGCTGCACAGGTCGAGGCTTATAGCCAACCAGTCATAACGTATATGCTATACCTATACGACCACCCTGCGGGTGATAAGGAGGTGAGGGGGGAGGGGGAACCAACGTCTCACTCAATCGATCTCGCTATCGATCTCACATTCGATCTCATTATCGATATCACTATCGATCTCACCATCGATCTCACAATCGATCTCACATTCGGTCTCACAATCGATCTCACAGTCGATCTCACATTCGGTCTCACTGTCGATCTCACAATCGATCTCACAATCGATATCACAGTCGATCTCACATTTGGTCTCACATTCGGTCTTACGATCGATCTCACTATCGATATCACAATCGATCTCACTATCGATCTTACATTCGGTTTCACATTTGGTCTCACTATCAATCTCACAATCGATCTCATTATCGATCTCACAATCGATCTCACTATCTATCTCACAATCGATCTCACATTCGGTCTCACTATCGATATCACAATCGATCTCACAATCGACGTCATCATCATCAACAACACCAACATCATCATCATCATCATCATCATCATCATCATCATCATCATCATCATCATCATCATCATCATCATCATCATCATCATCATCATCATCGCCATCATCATCCATCATCATCATCCATCACCATCATAATCATCCACATCATCATCGGGACACCGACGGGACCGACGGGACACCAGCGGGACACCGGCGGGACACCGCGCGCCACCGGCCGCCCGGAAGGGAAACATTTGGTCCGGCCGCGCCTCAGCCACAGGAGAACCGACGGGACACCAGCGGGACACCGGCGGGACACCGCGCGCCACCGGCCGCCCGGAAGGGAAACATCTGTTCCGGCCGCGCCTCAGCCACAGGAGATTTTCTCTCGCCCGCCCACGCAGTTTCGCCTCGCCCGC